TTTTTTTGGGGTATGTAACACCAAAGGCCGCTTTTTCTCTGAAACACTCTTCCCTGAAAGGTGGGGTATGTAACACCAAAGGCCGCTTTTTCTCTGAAACACTCTTCCCTGAAAGGTGTTAGATTGTGCAGATTGCTAAGGACGCGCCCTTGATATGTCACACTTTGATTAAACCCTCCACTTTTCTATCAGACTTCTAAATAAAATATTTGAAGGTATTATTTTAACTGTTCTTGAATTTTMCAGGCTAAAGCTCTGCAGTCAGCCCCTTTGCTGGTGAAGTGGTGTGTGCTAAGCCCTGTCCTAAGAACCTGAGGCCCGAGTGGTTTTTTTGCTGTATTTCCACAAGGCAAGTGGAGCGCTCCTTGTGATGCGCTCCTCAGCAAAACCTTCACCCCACGCCTCAAGGGAAGAGCCCAAGGAAAAGCTCTGGCATGCCGAGGGCAAGGCTGCGATCCCAACCTGTGTGTGCCCTGAGAGCTGCTCAGAACCAGGGATGATGCCAAGGAAAGTAGGGGGTCATGGGCTCCCCGTGCCAGGGGGCTCTGGAAACGAAGCTTGGGAAAGCAGCAGCAGCAGAGCTCGGGCCGATGGATCGCAGGTCAATCTGATACCGAGTGTTTTTACTGACGCTGAGGCAGATATGAACTGGATGGGGAACCGAGAGGAAGGCACCCTGGCTGGAGAGGCAGGCTCTGCCGAAATGCTGTTAGTGCTGGTACCATAATGAGAGATCATCGGAGCAAAGCTGGGCTTCCTAAAACCTCCACTGCCTGGTGCAAAGCACGTGGTCACATCCCCAATGTATGTCACAAAAACGCCACACAAGTGACGCTGGAGCTTTCTGAGTCTGCACCTCAGGCAATATTAGCTACCTTGGCTAATATTATATACCTGGGCTATAAACTGCCTTGGGTGCGAGGGGGAATCCACGAGGCTCCCCTGCCAGTGCCAGTGCAGAGGTTRCTGCAGCAGGGCACGGAGCGCTTGTACCACAAGCGGGATGTGAGAGGAAAGTGTGTGATGTTACTGCACTTTCCTTTCTGCAAAACTGTCATTGAGACATCTCGGAAAGACATTTCCATTGGGCACACAAGCAGTGCAGCGAGTTCAAGATGTTTTCTGCCTTGCCCCATTCTCGTAATGCAATGAATCAGTGAAAACWGGCAGTAGAGACTATGGATGTTCATTATACATAGGGAAAATTAAGTGCATGTACATGACAATAAAATCTAAGTGTACAACATCATTGCAATTCATAGTCAAGTTCTAGAAGTGAAAGATGAAACAGTTTATCCAGGATGAAAGTACACATTAAATAAGATTTCTAAAGCTAAACAAAACAAAGCAAAAGTCTAAGATCGGCTTATTCAGCCATTTTCTCACTGGGTTAAAATTAGAAATTTTGCTGTCTGAAAATATAAGAAGTTTCAAATGAAGGTAACCTACCTCTTTTCCAAATGGTAATTCCAATGAGAATCATGAGCAATTAAAGTTGATGGTGAAAGAAGACTGGAACTTGGCTAGAAAATGGTCATGTTAAAAATATTACTGAAGAAAATAGAATGCAAGTTCAAAAGCGAAATCAAGAGATGCAGCCTTTCATTCGGTGGTTACGTTAAGTCGTAGATCTGGAAATAACCTTGAGAAAGACTGATTGTGAAGGAGTGGTGGTGAGTCACCCACAGAGAAGTGATGAACGCAGAGTGAGAGAGCACTGCTGTGAATYACTGAGCGCTTAGAGCTTGAAATCAAATGTGCGTATTTCCAAAAATCCTGCTGTAGTTGCCCTCCACGGTAGGTCAGGAAGGTTTCTCACAAAACGTCTTCGGTTTTTGTTCAACATGATTCCTTTTTGTTGTATCYGCCTAGATACATTTTTTACTTCTACTTGTTTCTACTTTCTCCTTGTTTGAAGACCTCAGAGGTWCAGTCTGCTTCTAGATAGGCCTCTCTTTCCCAAAAGCAGGGCTCATTATTATTTTTATTATAGCCTGCCCGTTATTATTATTATTGCTTTTAACTTCTTTGTCTGTCTCTTAATTTTTCCTCYGCTTTTGGCGATGAGATGCCAGAGGATTTTGTCATTCTGGGAGCTATGCAGAGATGTGCAGCAGTCCTGCACTGCCGGATCTCTGCTCATGCTGCGAAGACATTGCTGGCCACACTGTCAAAACCCTGGCCGCGTTTCATTGCACCCAGGAATCACCAGAGGCAGATTGCAGCCCTTTACATTGTCGTTGGGAGTTGTGTTTTGGGCACGAGTGGATGCTCCCTGAGGTCTCGTTTCAGCTGGTTGCATCCAGGTCCCTACCTCCGACCTTTCCTTTCTTCACTCGGCCTCCTGACCAGCTCTGCTGGCCTCCAAACCACATCCAGCAATGGGTTTCCTCAGGCCCTGCATTAAAAGGGTTGGATAGCACTTCTACCCGACACACTTTTCCCAGATCTCTCTCTCAGGGCACCCCTCTCTCAGGTGTATTTTCTGGTTACAGCTCCAGCCTGTGTCATTCCCATCCCCAGGACAGAGGCTATTGCTTCAGTTCGAGGCCCTTACCACCTGCATGGTGGTTCAGAGCAGGGAATTGACTGCCTAAAAAAGCATCGTAAATTTTGTCTTTTTCTAAAAAAATATTTTTGCCAGCTGATATTTTAGCCAGATTGCTCCGTCCATCCCTTTCATGACGCATGGCCATGACTCACACGTGTGCAGTGGAAGGGGTGAAAGTGCCAGACGTGGCCGAGGGGACCCAGCTGCTCAGGCTGGCGAACGCGGCCCGGCGCTGAACACCAAGGCACGGTGCCGAGCGCGCGAGCTGGGCTCGAGGAGCAGGGCTTGCTCGCTGCATTTATCTGCTGCCCCGCTGCTGCTTGCTCTCACTTGTGACCTGGATGAAGGGCTGGAGTGCTCCCTCAGCAAGCTTGCTGATGGTACCGAACTGGGAGGAGTAGCTGGTAGCCCCGAGGGCTGTGCCGCCATCCAGAGGGACCTGGACA